GCCATTCAGGGTGGATAAGTGCAAGACTTTGCACTTGGAACACAGAAGTAGGTGTCACAGGTACAGGAGGGGGATCTCTAGGTACATAGAAACATAGAAAACAGAGCGAGTCAGAAGGGACCTACCAGGCCATCTAGTCTGACCTCCAGCACCAGCCGGCTCCGTTCACGACATGCCCACCATGTGGACGTCCAGCCTATCCTTGAACACCTGCACCGATGGGGCCTCAACGACCTCCCGTGGAAGCCCATTCCACACCCTTGGGGTCCTAACTGTCAGGAAGTGCTTCCTGGCATTCAAATGGAACCTTGGCTCCCTGAGCTTTGCTCTATTGGAGAGCGTCCTGCCTTCCTCTGCCGGGGAGAACAGGTCTCTACACATCTCCATGTGACATTCCGTCACATACGTGTATGTCGCCAACATATCCCCTCTGAGTCTCCTCTTCTCCAGGCTGAAGAGACCCAGTTCCCTCAAATTGGCCACCAACCTTGTGGCCCTACGCTGCACTGACTCTAACCTGGCTATATCCTTTCTGTAATGAGGGGCCCAAAACTGAGCACATTACTCCAGTTGCGGGCGCACCAGAGTCATATAGAGTGGTAGTAATACCTCTCTTGATCTAGAACTCACACTTCTGGCTATGCAACCAAGGGTGGCATTCGCCGTCTTCACCACCTCATCACAGTGCTGACTCAAGTTTAGCCTGCAGTCAACCAGTACCCTGAGGTCCCTTTCACAAGTGCTGCTCTCTAGCCACTTGTCACCTAACCTGTACTTATGAGAGCTATTCCTATGCCCCAAGTGCAAGACCTTGCACTTATCCACATTGAACGCCATCCTGTTGTCTCCTGCCCACTTCCATAGTCTGTCCAGATCCTTTTGGATCTGGAGTCCCTGCTCCTCAGTTGTGGTCACTGCTCGAGTTTAAGTGTCGTCTGCGAATCTGGTCAGCAGACTGTTCACCCCTTCTTCCATGTCATTAATGAAAAGATTAAACAGGATCGGCCCCAGGACAGAGCCCTGAGGGACCCCGCTTGTCACTGGCTGCCATCCCGATGATTCCCCGCTAATGGTTACCCCCTGCTTTCGGTCAGTCAACCATGTCCTAATCCACCGGACAGTGCTTTGGTGCATCCCAAAACTCCTCAGATTCTCCACCAGGATATCATGGGGCACTTTGTCAAAGGCCTTGCTGAAATCCAGGTATACCACATCCACTGCATCCCCTCCATCTAGCCATCTCGAAACCTTGTCATAGAATTCCACAAGGTTTGTCTGGCAGGACCTGTTTTTGCAGAAGCCGTGTTGTGTGGCTGTCAGCCTCCCTTTCTTATCTAGCATCACTAAATCTCTCTCTATTATGAGCCTTTCCATTGTTTTTCCTACAATGGACGTAAGGCTAACAGGTCTATAATTCCCCATGTCCCTTCTACTACCCTTTTTGAAAATTGGGACCACTGATGCCACCCTCCAGTCCTCTGAAACTTCACCCATTCTCCACGAGGTCTCAAAAATGGAGGCCAGCGGGACTGAGAGAACCCCTGCCAACTCTCTAAGTACTCTCGGGTGTAACCCGTCAGGGCCTGGCGCCTTTGTAATGTCCAATGCCCTGAGGAGCCCCTCGACTTCAAGGGCGGTGACTCTAATCTGTGCCCCTAAGTGCCCAGCCTCATCCAATCTCCTATGCCGATATCCCCCATCTTGCTTTGGGGAGAACACAGAGGCAAAATAGTCATTTAGCGTCTGTGCCTGTTCCCTCATATCAGTCACTGGATCTCCTTCCTCCTTATTTAGTGGTACCACCACTTGTCTCCCCTTCCTCTTCCTATTTACATTCTGAAAGAAGTCCTTTTTGTTGCTCTTGATATTCTAGGCAAGTCTCAGCTCGTAATCAGCCTTAGCCTTGTGAAGAATCCTTCTGCAACGGGCCTCCTCCTCCCGGTATACCCTTTTGTCTATTTTCCCCAGTACCCATTTCCTACGGAGGTTCCTCTTTCATCTAATCCCTCTAACCACCCCCTTTCGCATTCATGGAGGCACTCTCCTCTGCCTCCCCACCTTACTGACTAGAGGTATCGTCAAGGCTTGCGCCTCCAAAACCTCCCTTTTGAGTGCCATCCACCCCTCCTCAACTCGCTTACCTTCCAGTAACCTATCCCAGGAGACTTTCCCCAGATTGGCCTTCAGTTGGCCAAAGTTGGCCCTCTTGAAGTCCCAGCTTCTAGTGCTCGACCTGCTGCACATCCCCAGTCCCCTGATCTCAAAGCAAAGGATGGAGTGATCACTCGCATCCAGAGCTCCCCTAATCTGTACTTCATCTATCAGTTCCTGGTCAAGACCAAATCAAGGATGTTTTCCCCCCTTGTCGCCTCTCGGATCCTCTGTGTGAAAAACCCTCCCTCTATAGCTTCTAGGAAGTGACGTGACCTGGCTGTCACCGCCGAGTGAGTCTCCCAACTAATATCAGGGAGATTGAAATCTCCCATAATTACTGTGTCTCTCCCCCGAGATATCCTTTGAATCTGGCCTGTCAGGACATCATCCAGGGTCTCAAGGTGACATGGAGGGCGATAACATACCCCCACTGTCAGGTCTCTTTCCCTGTCAGAACCCCTAAGTTTCACCCAGACTGCCTCTACCCAATCCCCATCTGTGCTGCATTCTATCTCACTGCATCCTATCCCTTCCCTGATGTATATAGCCATGCCCCCACCCCTCTTTCCCTTCCTGTTCTTTCTGAAAAGATGATACCCTTCTATGTTCACATTCCAGTCTTGCCTTTCATCCCACCAGATTTCTGTGATTCCCACCAGGTCATACGCTCCTATTCCCAGGAGAGCTTCAAGCTGTTCCTGCTTATTACCCATGCTCCTAGCATTGGTGTACATGCACCTCAACTCCTTCCCACTGCTTCCTTTCCTTGGAGTTCCCAGCCTCCTCCTTCCTCCCATCTTCCCTGATACCTGGCCCCTCTCTGTAGGGGTCCTGTCAGTCCCTACAGTACCTCTAAAACCCTGCTCCCAGAGCCCTGATCCTCTCCCCACACTTGCCCAGTGCAGACACGTTACTGGGGGACCTGAACCGCCCCCCCCCCAGCTCAGTTTAAAGTCTTCCGGACGAAGCTCGCTAGAGCATCTCCAAAGGACCTTTTCCCCCTCCTCGTGAGGTGTAACCCATCCCTTGCCGGAAGTCCATTGGCAAGAAAACGAGTGTCGTGGTCGAGGAACCCAAAGCGTTCCTTCTGGCACCACACCCTAAGCGAGTTGTTCACCTTGGAGGCCCTCCTGGCCCTTCCTGGCCCAAATCCCCGGACAGGTAAGATTGGCAAGAAGGCCACTTAGGCCTTTAGCTCCCTGAGTTTCTTCCCCAAGGCCTTGAAGTCCCTGGTGATCCCAACCATACCCTGCCTGGCCACGTCATTTGTGCCCAGATGGATCACCAGGAGTGGCTGGTGACCCCCGGAGCGAACAAGATGCTCCACTCTGTCCTTCACATGCCGGATGCGTGTGCCCGGCAGGCAGCAAACCTCCCTTGTCTCCAGGTTGGGGTAGCACACTGCCGCCTCAGTGCCCCTCAGCAGGGAGTCCCCAACAACCATCACCTGCCGCCCTGTCTTCCTGGTGGTGGTGGGCGGCCGTGCCCTGGCCCTCACCTCTCCTGCAACGGCCCCCTTGCCGCTTATCGTCCCAGGCTGGGGGTTCTGCTGGTCCCCTGAAGCCTCATCAGCCCCAGCTTCCCCAAGTGGAGAGAACCTGTTTCCCAGCTCCAGATTGGTGCCAGGAGAAGGAGGAGGCCGTGCAAGGAGGAGGCCATGCTGGCCTCCTCCTCCTGTGGGTGACATCCCTCCATGTCTCCACAGCTGCTCCTCCTGTGGCCTCTCCCTCAACCCTCTGTCCAGAGGAGGGCTGCTTCCGAGGGCTTGGAGAGCTCTCTTGGCCCTCAGGCACCTCACCTCCTCTTCTAGCAGGGTCATCATCTTGCACCAAGGACAAGTGTATTCCTGCCTCTCCTGAGGGAGAAGGGCGAACATGTCGCAGCTGTCGCAGCGGACAGCAACACCCGTGACTCCCACCAAGGCCATCTCCTGGTCTGCCATCAGTATCCCTTCCGAGACCTTACCTTGGTCCCCTGCCTTGTTTGTCCTGCAGTTCCTCTCACTCGCCCAGTTCTTCCAGACAAAAACCCACTTGCACACACACACAAGGATAAAATAAACTTAAATTTAAATTAGAAGAAAAAGAAAGCAAAGCACAGCACAAAAAACAAACAAACAAACCTCTGTGTCCCAGGGAAGGGAGTCCCCGGACAGCCCAGGCCACAGCTAAGGGCTGCAAACAAGGGATGATGCCCTTGTCACATCGCCCTTAATGCATCGCCATTGGCGCCATGTCCACTGGCACCGCCAACGGCTAAGCTTGGCCTTATCAGTCCCTCAGGCTGGTGGCCCCGCCTGTTACTTCCTCCTGGCCCCTCTAGCCTCTCTGGGCCCGCCTCCCTTCCTCTCTGCTGCTCCTGGCCCTCTGCTCCCCTGCCCAGTTCCTGCCTTGCCTTCGCCAGTCCCCTGGTCACTCAGCACTCTCTCCCAGTCTATGCCTCTGCTGCTCTGCCAAGCAACAGCAACTACTTGTCAACAGCAGGCTGAACCTGAGCCAGCAGTGTGACACTGTGGTTAAGAAGGCAAATGCCACCATTGGATATATAGCCAGAAGCATGGTTACCAGATCTAGGGAGGTGTTCATACTGTTCTACAGAACTCTGGTGTATAGGAGAGACCTAGCTACTTTAGAATCAGCTTGGCACAGGGTCACAAGAATGGTAGCCGGGATGGGAGGGGTGACATATGAGGACAGACTGAGTCAATTTTTGAACTAATTATCCAAATGAATAACTTACAATAAATCAATAATTTCACCAAAGAAATCATCATAGCAGGACCTTGAGAACATCACAAATCCAGCAGTTATGATTGATTTCAAGAAACATTAGAATAAATTAATAACCTGCAAAATTCTTTGCCTTCTGTAGTACTGTTGATCATGAGAGTGATTGCATGCTGAGAATCCACCGCAACAGCTGCAATACTAGATTCTCCAGGTGTTCTGTTTATGGGGAGAGAAATCAGCTCCTGATACAAGCACTGGAGAGTAAGGAAAAATGCATGGAGGCTGAGAAGAAACAGCTGTTCAAGTGTAGATATAGGAAAAAACCCATCTTTGAAATTCACAGTAAATAGAGTAAAGCAGAAACAACACTTTGTTTTAAAAGAAAAAATGTAAAATGGTGCCCTAAAGTAAATAATGCTAAATGATCTTACTTTATCATGACTATGACTATATCTGAATGTCTATACTGCCCTATTTGTCTAGGTGATTTTTTTCTTGGAATTAGACTAATTTCTTACATTAACAGCAGCAGTGTAATGGAGTCAGTATTCAGAGTCAAAGCACTAGGACATTTTCATTAGCAGGCATGATCATTTTGTCTGTCATCTCCTTTAGCCTTCTTTCTGAGCTTAACTACAATTCCCCAGAGTAGCTGGGGCAGGGAGCAGGGGTTGGGATTAGATTTTCTCACCAGTTATAAAAAGCTATCCCTGTTGTAAGAGGAAGTATTCTGGGATTGGATAAGCAATTTAGACTTGTTCACAAAATGACATATTACAGAGACACATGGGGTACAGATCAACACAGCTGCCTGGATATTTGGACTCTGCCTAGGGGTGTGAGTATGGGGGCTGTCATGAAGAACAGCTGTACTTCAAAATTCCCAGTGCAATATAAATTAATAGTAGGGTTACTTGCACAACATGGCAGTGAGGTTGGTGCATGCAGAGCACATGTGGTTGCCTTTTAAATATACAGCCACAGTGGTTGTCATGAAGAAAGTGTCCTTTAACAATCCTTTGTATAATCCATGATCTGTTTAATCCTTATATAACCCATTCTCATCCAGTTCTCATGAAATTACAACCTCCAAGCAGGAGTTTCATATGGAACTTGGGGTCATGACAAGGTACAGTGGAGCACAAGTTTGTATGGCAGTGATCGTAAGCTCTGATGGTAGATAACATGGCCTATTCATGTTGTTCATCATGGTTTACAAAGCTTAATTGTCATTTGTCACAAAGTCCACATTGACAAAACATGGTTTCAACTACTGTTCCATCTCAACAAACCATCTTAGACCACATGAGAGTGGATGGAAAATTAAACTACTTCAGTAGCTCTCACTGCTGGTTCTTAAGCATGCACTCCTCCCTGTCTTCCTTCACCCATAAATATGTCTACATATCTGGCAATTTGCTATTACTTAAAGTTAATAGGTAAAATTCTAGAAAGTAGTAACACTTCCATGGTATTCAGGTCATAAGTACGGAAAAATAAGAGATTTTTGTTTAAATTATGCAATGTCTGATAATTTCTGCTCTTTATTTTAGTCGCTGTAAATAATGCTTGGAGATACTCTGATAAATTGTGATTTCCTAAGATGGTAAGATATTCCTTTTGCATTCCATTAAAGTAGATTTACCTTTCTCATAAATTAGCATTCATTAGCATTAATACATGTATCAACATTATATATATTACATTGTGTTTCTGTTCCATGCATTTGAATATGCCATGTTTTCCACCACCAGCAGCAGGACTGCAAGTCCTAGGTTCTCTCTCTACAGCCTGAATTTCACCATGAAAAACTGAAAAGTCTATGCCTCTTACAATGTATGAATCCATACAGACAGGTTTCAGTTCCTTCCCAAGTCCTGAGTGCTAGAGGCCCTTCCCCAGGCCCTAAATTCCCAGAGAAAAACAATACAGAAAAGTACCAGTGTCTGGATAATCTTTGCGAATTATTATATCCAGTTTACATCACTTCATTCTTGTAGGGTCCTTAGGATAATATTCTATAAATAACACACATTTACCAGTGAATATAAATTACCTGGTAGCAATAATCTGAGAGCCAGTAGATGGTCAAGTTCTCACTGAGCAATTCTTTAGGAATTTGTAACAGGGCCTGATCAATTTTTAGACCCAGGGATGGTCGTCTGGATACATCTATTAGAGATATAAAGGGAGAGAAGCTCTTCAATATTTAGCTAGGCAAACATTTCTGGCCTTGCAGCTCAGATGAACTGCAAATTCTGGGATGATAGATCCTTTCCTGTTTGCATATCCTGATACCTCATATAAACTCAAAATACCTTTGCAAATGGTCACCAGTGTCATGCAATTCTTACAGGAAACTCCTTTTACAATGAATGGGAGTGGGTCTGCTTTCTCCTCCCAAACTTTGACCAATTTCACAAAATAGCATTATATACACAAAACCAAATGCATTGTTACAAGATGGGGAATACTTGGCTCAACAATGTTGCAGGTGAGAAGGATCCTGGAATTGTTGTAGCTCACAAGCTGAATATGAGCCAACAAGGTGATGTGGCTACAAAAAGGGCAAAGGCTCCTTTAGGCTGCATTAATAGAAGTATCACTTCCAAATCTGGTGAAGTACGAGTTCTTTTACTCAGCACTGGCTGGGTCTCATCTGGAGTAATGTGTCCAGTTCTGGGCACCACAGTTTAAGAAAGGAGGAGTCAGGCTGGAAAGGGTTCAGAGGCGGGCAACCAAGATGAACCAGGGACTGGAAACAAAGCCCTGTGAGGAGAGATTGAAAGAATTGGGTATGTTCAGTTGCAAGAAGAGAAGACTGAGGAGAGATGTGGTTGTGTGTGTTAGTTGCAAAATCATGACCCCATGGACAACATTCCTCCAGGCTCTCCTGTCCTCCACCATCCCACAGAGTCCACCCAAGTTCACACCCACTGCCCAAGTGTCTCCATCTAGCTACCTCATCCTCTGCCCTACCTTCTCCTTTTGCAGTCAATTGTTCCCGGCATCAGGGTCTTCTCTAATGAGTTGTTCCTTCTCATTAGGTGGCCCAAGTATTTGAGTTTCATCTTCAGGATCTGCCCTTCTAAAGAGCAGTCAGGGTTGATCTCCTCTAGGACTGATTGTTTTGATCTCCTTTCAGTCCAAGGGACTCACAAGAGTCTTCCCCAGCACCCCAATTCAAAAGCCTCAATTCTTCGGCACTCAGCCTTCCTTATGGTCCAGCTTTCACAGCCATACATTGCAACTGGGAAAACCATAGCCTTGACTATATGCACTTTTGTTGGCAGGGTGATGTCTCTGCTTTTTAGTATGCTGTCTAGATTTGCCATAGCTTTCCTCCCCAGGAGCAAGCGTCTTTTAATCTCTTGGTTGCAGTCCCTTTCTGCGGTGATCTTGGAGCCCAGGAAAATAAAATCTGTCATTACCTCCATTTCTTCCCCATGTATTTGCCAGGAGGCGATAGGACCGGATGCCATGATCTTAGTTTTCTTAATGTTGAGTTCCAAGCCAACTTTTGTGCTTTTCTCTTTCACCCGCATCAAGAGTCTCTTTAGTTCCTCTTCACTTTCTGCCATTAGAGTGGTATCATCTGCATATATGAGGTTGATATTTCTCCCAGCAATCTTAATTCCAACTGGTGATTCATCTAGGCCTGCCTTTCTCATGATGTGCTCTGCATATAAATTAAATACATGAAGATTGAGGATTACCAGGGACTTTGAGGCTTTGGGGAAGAAACTCAGGGACCTTAAGGCTCAAGTGACCTTCTCATCGATGTTACCGGTCCAGGGATTTGGGCCAGGAAGGGATAGGAGGGTCGCCAAGGTGAATGACTGGCTTAGGGTATGGCCCCAGAAAGAACACTTCGGGTTCCTTGACCATGGCACCCAGTTTCTTGCCAGTGGACTTCTGGCAAGGGACAGGTTGCACCTCACGAGGATGGGGAAAAGGTCCTTTGGAGATGCTCTAGCGAGCTTCATCCGGAAGCCTTTAAACTGAGCTGGGTGGGAGGAGGTCAGACCCCCCAGAAACTTGTCTGCACTGGACAAGTGCGAGGAGAGGATCAGGGCTCTGGGAGCAGGGTTTTAGAAGTACTGTAGGGACTGACAGGACTGCTACAAAGAGAGGCCAGGTATCAGGGAAGATGGGAGGAAGGAGGAGGCGGAGGACTCCAAAGAAAGGAAGCAGTGGGAAGGAGTTGAGGTGCATGTACACTAATGCTAGGAGCATGGGTAATAAGCAGGAAGAACTTGAAGCTCTCCTGGGAATAGGTGGGTATGACCTGGTGGGAATCACAGAAACTTGGTGGGATGAAAGGCAAGACTGGAATGTGAACACAGAGGGGTATCACCTGTTTAGAAAAGACGGGAAAGGAAAGAGGAGTGGGGGCGTAGCTTTATATGTCAGGGAAGGGATAGCATGCAGGGAGATAGAATGCAGCACAGATGGGGATTGGGTAGAGGCAGTCTGGGTGAAACTAAGGGATTTTGGCAGGGAAAGAGACCTGACAGTGGGGGTATGCTATCACCCTCCAGGTCAACTTGAGACCCTGGATGATGTCCTGACAGATCAGATTCTAAGAATATCTTGGGGGAGGAACACAGTAATTATGGGAGATTTCAATCTCCCTGATATTAGTTGGGAGACTCACTCGGTGGTGACAGCCAGATCACGTTGCTTCCTAGAAGCTATAGAGGGAGGGTTTTTCAGACAGAGGATCTGAGAGGCGACAAGGGGGGGAAACATCCTTGACTTGGTCTTGACCAACAGGGAAGAGCTGATAGATGAAGTACAGATTACGGGAGCTCTGGATGCGAGTGATCACTCCATCCTTTGCTTTGAGATCAGGGGAATGCGGACGTGGAGCAAGTCGAGCACTAGAAGCTGGGACTTCAGGAGGGCCAACTTTCAGTTATTGCGGCCCGATGATGTGGACAAGGTGCTTGGACGAGTACGTCCCACCTCTTGCCTACTGGACCCTTGCCCGTCTTGGTTAATAAATAATTCCAAGCACGGGATTCGGACCTGGATTTTGGAAGTGATTAACGCTTCTCTAAGGGAGGGTCGGGTGCCTGCCCCTTTAAAGGAGGCGGTAGTCCGACCGGTCCTGAAGAAGGCGTCACTGGATCCAGAGATGGCCACTAATTATAG